CAGAGAGAGAGAGAGAGAGAGAGAGAGAGAGAGAGAGAGAGAGAGAGAGAGAGAGAGAGAGAGAAAGGGAGAGAGAGAAAGAAACAAAAAAAGAGATTGAACAAAATTAAATTTTAATATAGATCTAGATCTAGATCTATATACATGTAAAAATGTTTGACAAATTCCTTTCAGAGAAAATGAATTGGAAAATTGTCCCACTTACAACATTAAATTTGAGCCTGACAGAAAGCTAGATATCTATACTCCAAAGGAGTTATGGCTACATGATAGTGCTTTAGGCCTAGTCCATAGATCTAGTAGGCCACTAAATAATAGTCCTTATATTATAACCCCTTTGATATCTCACACAATCTTTTACAATGCCATCCCTGTCACAGCTGTGTAAGAATTAAATTCGTTGTTTCATTCCTCCCGGCCGAAAAGGGGCTGAGGAGCTGAGGGCATATGACCCAACTTTGTTTGCTTTGTAACATTGCAGTAGTATCCCTGAAAGGCAAAGTAAGTGTTGAAAATAACAATCTAATATAGGCCTAATGCTCAATGATGCACTTCGCTTGTTTTTAGTTTACTGATCAGAGTAGGCTAGTAAAGAGGGGATTATAACGTCAAAATGAAATAACCATTAAATCTATAGAATCCCTAAAGGAGCCTCATATCGTTCGACAGTTATACTGACCAATGAAATACTTCCAAAGCATCAACATTCGACCCACGTGATTATGCTGCCTGCCCAAGAATCCTCGGTGCATTCATTCGTTCGTCAGTTCAATAAAGTCAGAGGCTACGTGTGGGGTCGAGGCGTGTTGTTGTGGAATCTTCCAGTTCCTCGTCAGATCCGCCGTTTTTATTTCATCACCGTGACATTTGTGTAGATAGTGAACAACTGCAGTTGACTAGGCCTAATATATAGAGCTAAAGAGATATATCTAAGCAATTTGTTTGGTGCTGAGCGAGAACTTACTGTTGTTTGACCACTGCTCGTCTCAGTGTGAGTGGTCATGGCGTCAGAGGATGGGGACTCGGACAACATCGATCAGCCCACGAACAACATTATTCCCAGCTTCTCGTTTTCTGGTTGTGGATTTTTGGGTGTCTATCATGTCGGAGTAGCCGCATGCCTGAAGGACCACACGGATGTTGTGAACAGGAAACAAATCAAATTCGCTGGAGCAAGTGCAGGTGCTCTCGTAGCCACCACTCTACTGTGTGATATAGATTTAGGTAGGTGTATGAGTATGTATGAATGTGGAAAATGACTATCTAGATCTAGATCTAGATCTAGATCTAGATTCTAGATATCTAGATCTAGATTTAGCGATTTAGATCAAGATTAGATTCTAATATCTAAATTCTAGATCTTGATCTAGATCTAGATCTTGATCTACTTGTCTTTTTCGGCTTCACATTCATTCACGTCCCCTTCTTTCCCATCACTTCCACACAGGGAAAGAACGACATAAATGTGTTTCCCCTAAATCTAAATCTAGATTAAACAGTGTTTTGTACGGGATACTTGTGGTATAACAAGACACAAATACTTTTCCTTCGGTGTTTGTTAAATATTTTGTTATTTCAAAGTTGAAAATGTTGTTCAATAAGTGCGATATAGGAGGCCTAGGGCTTAAGCGTGTCTCGTTTTTTTTTCTGTCTCAGTGGCCGGGGTTACGATGCTTGTCCTTCATTGGTTAGAATGCGGTCAGGCGCTAGAATATTTTCGGTATCCCCGAAGGAGCCCGCATTAGAATCATAAATCTTGATCTATTTCTGCCGCTTGGCCTTCGGGTCTCTTCGCATGTGCGTCTCGGGGTGGGGGAACCCTTTAATTAAAAAAGGAACGCAAACTGCACAGTAGCTTTTTGCTCAACCCTTTTTTGTTTTGGTTATTAGATTAGATCTAGATCTAGATCTAGATATCTAGATTCTAGATGGCTACTTGAACGTTTCTGTTGTTTTTTTTTAAACCTGTTGTAAGACGTTGCGCTGCGTTTGTTGAAAATTTTCGCTTTTTTGTCAGTCTACACCAAAACCAGCACCTTTCCAACCTGACCGACTAAACAGCTGATTGAATTTACGTCAAGCTCAAGGACACGAGTCAGAAAAGTACACCCAAGTTTTAGACAGGGTAGCGTTGGCTGAACATGTCTCTCTCTCTCTCTCCCCCCCCCTCTCTCTCTCTGTCTCTCTGTCTGTCTCTCTCCCCCCCTCTCTCTCTCTCTCTCTCTCTCTCTCTCTCTCTCTCTCTCACACTCACACAGACAGACAGACATGCACACACCCTCACACACACCTGCAGGACTATTCACATGCACAGGCACGTGCTTTTTTCACTGTGTTAAGAAATATCAATGTCAATAGCATTCATAGAGAACCTTTTAAAAAAGTAATTTCCCTGGACAGTTTGCTAAAGGCAAAGGGGTACAATCTGCAGGAGAGCATGCCCCACTTGAAACCCAGCTGTTTTTTAGAGCCTCCCTCCCTCCCTCCATGTGATTTCTATTGTTGTAATATAGACTAGTGCCAGTCAAAACATCTGTTCATAATTCCATAAAACCAATGATTTGCAGTGGATGTAATATTAAGTCAAGATTTATGTAAAGCAGATATGAATTTTTAAATTTTAAAAAAGAATATTGGGACATGACTGGAATCTAGATCTAGATCTAGATCTAGATTAGATCTAGATTCTAGCACTAGATATGACATGAATCCATAAATAAGTAAAATAATTCAGAAGAGTTTTCCCCTTTCAAATCTGGGAGGATGAAAAACGTGAAGATTCCAGTCTCTGTGTGGAGTCTGCTTCTTATCCCTCCAGGCCCTCAATTTAAATTCTCCCTATCTCAGCAGTTGTCTTGATTGTGAAGTTGATCTCCACCATTAAATTAAGAAGGTCAGGAAAGCTGACATCAATGTCAATGTCAGGTTATCTTAGTAGGAGTGCAAGGATCTCCTTGCAATCCGGATGTGCCACTAGTTTCTCCCAGTTACCTATTTTTCGAATCAGCCTTTTCGAATAGATTTGTGGGATTAAAGATCTCATGATGATTTAAAGAAGAGCACAGCTACACATGTCAACTTTTGGGTTATCTTTGTGTGGCAGATAGACACAAAGTTCATTTATCACACATGTACAGAGTTGCTGGGTGCATGATTGTTTTTTTCCTGTGGCCTTGACTCAAGAGAAATTTTTTACGAGATATGCATGCCACAAGTAAAAAAAATGTTTTTTTCTTACTATAAGGGAGAAAAAAATCAAAATTGTTCCAGATTTTAGTGGGGGCTGGGGATGGTCAATGAGAAACCTCTTGGCAGATTCTTTTACCTACATTAAAACATTTTTTACTTCAGTGACTGCAGCATTGCTTTTATGTGAGGTGGTGAAATCAGGTGCTTATTCGCAGTAATGAAATTGAAGAAATGCATTTTCCCACCAGTTTGGCAATTTTTATTGAATTTGTTTGTTGGTTCAACACCTTTGGCCACATAAAAACGCATTTCCTTGTGAATTTTACTGAAAAACATTGATTATAGGCACAAAAAAGGTAAAATTTCAGTTTTCAAGCTCTCTAAGCTATTGAAGTTTTACCAAACTTTGGCAGCCATTTTCTTACTAATTTTACCTCTGAAACCAGGTGACCCCTCCACCTCCTTGAAAGGCTTCTTCTATTTAAGATAGAGGCCTAGATGGATACTTTATAACCAAAAGCATGGCAAATGAATAAGCTTTTAGGTGATTCTAATAACTCCCCACGCCCAAAAATTGACGAGCGCCTGACTCTACCATGTCGTGACACTGCTTATTTGGAATGGTGTACACTTAGCTTTGTTCTGGTTTTTTTTGTTGTTGTGTTCTTTGGAAGGGGCAAGAGAATAAATGTTTCCTATACTAGACTTTGTTGTAGTAATTTTGTTTGGACTGTTTACTTAATTAAAAATGGTATGAGATTTTTCATGGAGATCTTGTCAGGTATTAAATTTTTGAACTCTTCTTCACAGGTCAAATGACAAAATTGCTTCTGGAGGTTGCAAAAACTGTAAGGAATCGTGAAAACGTTGATCTTGACTCTCTGTTACGGAACCTCCTGAACCATTACTTGCCTGACGATGCCCACATTCGCCTGAGGAACCGATTGTATATTTCCGTGACCCTCCTCACAGGGCTGGAGAGCGGCCTTATCACAAACTTCCACTCTAAGGAACATCTCATTCAGGTGAGGCAGAGTGTGCAGGTGCTCCTGGTTTGGTTTCAGCAAAAAGCTTGATGTTTGCTGGGGAGGGGGAGTGTAGAATGTGATCAGTCCTATTTTTTTTAAAGATTAAAAGCTTGAAACTTGAAACAACTTTCAAGCAGTGGGTACTTTTAGAGGTTTACTCTTTGTTTCAGCGTGTACATCGTGATTTAATTGCTCCGGACCTTTATTCGTGCCGACTTGCTGTAAACTATTGTTATCATTTTGCCATAAAACTCTAACTCAAAACTAAAACTTTAAACTAAGTTTCAAGAGTTATCAAATTACTGTTTTGTCTGTAAAGACTATTGTGTCAGCAGTGGTGGTGGGTAGTGAAGAAGGTCTCACAGGCTTGAGGCCCGCCCCCCCCCCCCCCCCCCCCTTAACTCTATCCCAAAGTAAATGAAAGTTTCTTAACGAAATAAGCAGTTGAAACCGTTATGATCGCTCCCAATGAAGTTACAGTGATTAATTTGGCGGCTTGCTCGTTTATCCGATCACTGTTGTCACCGCTTACAACTATAGTAACCTTACAGCCAATCAAATGTCAGGATGAGCCCATTCCTACGCACCTTCTGGAATGAAACTTTTCTTGTAAAAAGGTAGAAGACTGGAAAAGATAACACTGTACCGAGGGCTCAGGCTTTCCTAGCCCTGACAATGGGGTGAAAGTTTAGAACACTTTCTCCCACTCCCAGTGACACAAATACCTTTGCTCTCATTGGACCTTTGTTAGGCGCTTTCTATTTTCCAAGACACACAGCCTAATCCAGCTCATAGACGAAATATCTGTATGTGCATGTTTGTGTTTGTGCCGCTGAGATTTGACAATCACGTCGAATCACTTTGAAGGCAAATTTTTCACCCAGAAGAATATTTACTTAAAACAAATAGATTGAAGACAAAGGTGACTATTCTCGTTTGAACAGTTCTGAATATGCCGTGGCTCACCATGAGTATAGAATGTTTAAGTCTTATTGCTTGCTATTTGGTGGTAAAGAAGTGGAAGAAACTTAAGCCCCACCCTAATGTTGGTCCTCCCACCGCCACTGTGTGTCAGAAGATACTGTTTTGTCTCTCAGTTGCTGTGTTTGATGGGGACTTTTTTTTTGTCACTGAATAGTTTGGAAGATAGTTTGGTGCGGCTTGTCTGGTTCGGCTTGCTCATCTTCTGTCTAAAGTTTTTTTAAATTTTCGGATATCTTATCTAGTCTAAGTGCTTTCTTTCAAACTCCTCTGGCTCACAGATGTTGTGTGGTTGGTGTACAGGTTTTGTGATGAGTAAATTACTGCCTTACTCTCGACTGTTCAGGGCTGTTCAGTGGAATATTTTGATTTTGAGAGAAGGGACCAAGCTTCTGTATTTTGACACTTTTTCAACATAGTAGAGATAGATCTTGAGATAATACCTGATATCATATCACAAGGCACATTGGCTAAAAGTGCAAATATCCAAGAAGTGCTACATTGTGAAGAAAACCTTGTCAGATACTGTGTGGGGATAAGTCAGTTTGTTGTTTTCTATCGCTTTTTTGTGCTCCTCTTGAAAAGTTATAATTTTCTGGACTTCTGATGGTAGTTCTGTGCCATACCTTAGATTGGGACAGATTGAGGTAAAGGGGTTAATTGGGATAATCAATACCTGTGGACACAGAGGCTGATAAGAGAGGTTGACATTGTCAGTAAATTAGATGTACCTGTGTAATTTGTGTTCCAGATTGGTCAGCGGTGTCAGCGATACTGAAGTTATAGACGTAAACAGGCCTTTGAACGAGCAGGACTTTGCTTTGTTACGAAGCCTTTAAATTAGGAGGTGGAGAATTTGATCAGCAAGGTCTGAAGGACTAGCGATTGTGTACTGCACTCACTTGTTGTGTATGTTGGTCTCATGTGTAGTTGGCGTGTTACCCTCATTGTCTCACTGGCAGAGGTACAAACAGTTAGATCTACACGCATGCCGTCAAACACAATACAAAACAAAATTGTGCTCTGACTACATATCAAATTTGATGAACTTAGTCATTAGCAGGAAGAAGTACATAGGTCGTAAAGAAAAAAAAAAAAGAAGGGAAAACACGCCCAAAGCAAAACTACTAAACAAAACTCCCCTGAACAATACAATAATCCAGAAAAAAGGAAACAAACCTAAAACAACAACAAAAAAATTAACAAAGCTGACAAAACAAAGATATATATATATCATATATGATGTTCTATCTTTCAATACACATATATTCTTGTCATTCAAAATATAAAGGAGTGGAAATGGATGGTTGCCTGTGAACATTGATGAGGCATAAAAATAGCACTTTTTTTCACACCATTTGGGGTTAAGGCAGGGGTTAAGTGTGATGTACTCGCTAATGACCACCCTGTTGGTCGTTAGAGGACTCACAAGTAGGTCTTACTTCCTTTCTTTCGCTGTGATATTTTTGTCTGCCTTTTTTTTTTTTTAGCCCAGTCTTCATTTTTACGCTGTGAACCTTGGTTGTTTTTTTTTTAATCAAGGGAAATGAACAAATGTTTTTCCATCTTTTATTTTACATGTAACAGACTACCCTGGCGGGTCAAGAGAAAATGTGTTAAGTCATGTTATGTGAGCCTTTCTTTTCAATATATTATTATGGAGGTGGCCCTGTCTGCCTGGGAGATAAACGCACAGGCAGAGAGGAAAAATTTAAGAGGGGGCGTTGACCGCTAGAACGATGACTCATGGTCCGAAGTAATCAGGGATCTCGGGCGGAGGTCACTTACTGGTAAATCATTACCTCCAGATGGGAGGGAGGGGTGATGCTCTCAGGTATATGAGGGTGTATATCGGATACTAGAGGAGGGTATTATGAGGTTTGTCTAAAACAATGTGGTATATGGGTGTCAGTGCAGGTGTTTGAAGGATGCCATCAGTACAGTATGTAAAAAGTAAAGTTGTTCCCGCATCCGATCTGGACATTGGGGATGGATTGCCTTGTTAGTGAGACAACTTCCTGGGCCTTCGGTAAATTGTAGTAGGGTGGCCAGTTCCTTTCCACGCCGCCGCCGCCGCCTTTACTCCCCCAACTCGGAAGTCAAGTATCATTTACTGCTGGGTGGGCAGGAGGGGGCGAAAAAAAATCTGTGTCTGAACCGAGTCTCAAACCTGGACTTGTCAGTCTCTGTCTTGCTTTTTTTCTCCCAATGTTAGGCAACCGTTTTTGTGTCGAAGTGCTTCGTTTTACTGAATCAAATGAAAGGGGGCGCCTATGGAATGTGTGATGTTGTTTCAGACATGTGAAAGGTACCACATACCTTTGTGTATCGTCTTTAGCACCCTACTAAATGTGGAATGTTTACTGCAAAGGGGGAGCGCTTGGCACAGAAGTTGTGAAAGTGAAAGGAAAAGACCAAAGACAAGTTGTGGGTGACATTGTCGAAGGCGTCTGGGCGTTGGAGAGCTGCATGTAATGCCGTTCATTATGATTGTCGGGCAGGTGTGCCACAGCGTTGTATAGAGTGTGTGTGTGTGTGAATATATGAAACGAGAAGAGTTTCTCCAATGCTTGTTTTGTGACGGTGGACCAGCAGGAACGTGTGCTATAAATGAATAATGATTATTGGTAGATGGTTTTTTTTACATGACTAAGTTTCAAAAGTTGGTTGTTTAAATAGTTCATATTTTCATCTCATTATTAAAGGAGGGAATACAACAATGATGCGCATATTTCTATCGTCAAGTACTTTGAATGACGTTATAGCCCTAGAAAGTATTTTTTGTTCCAATGGCTAAATTTAGTGAAATGACAAAATGTGCGTGTGGAAAACACAAAAAGATGTAAATGGTCAAAACGTGACCCCTTGTAGATTGTAACTTTAATGTTGTTTCTGTGGTAGAAGTTTGAATATTACAGAAAGCACGCACTTTGGCCATAAACTGTCGGGGGGAGAAAGCCTGAGACTGGATGGATATGACGTTTTTTTGTCGTTGTCCCATTCTATTTTTAGCTTAACTTAATAATATATCGTATGCTGTACAAACAGTCTTAGTTATATTTTGTTTTTTCTGGTGCTATATTTAGTTGTATATTTAGGTTTTTGTTGGTGTCTTCGTTTTATTTAAAAAAAAATTTTTTTTTGGGGGGGGGGGAGAGTGGATGTATGGTAAGGGATTATTTTAGAATTTTACTAATGAGAAAAGAAGGGGAGCACTTGATACAGTGGTTCTGAGAGAAAAGGGAAGGGAAAAGACCAAAGACTGTACTTATAGACATATTGGTACACCTTTTGTGGAATTTATAGGGACATGTTACGTTTGGAGGGGTTTGTGAGTGGTATAAAATGAATAGTAGGCTCCTCACTGTTGCACGCAAAAGATTTTAGTGGGATTGGATATCACTGAGGAGAAGTTTATTTTGTTAACAATGTCTGTCATTCTGCTCGGATGTTGTATCCCACTGAGCTAGTTTGACCCTGACAGGCAGAGCCCACCTCCTTAATTAGCTAAATTGTGTTTATGTGGACGTAAAACATTTTACAATCACATTTGTTGCTAGTCGTACACAGTGGAAGAGGACATTCTTGTCCCCCCAAAAAGGGTCATTGAAAGAAAACGCAAACAGATGTCAACAACTAGTGATATGTGGGCAACATCTAATAATAAAACAATAGAAAGACAGTCTACAGTTTATTGGTTTAACTGTGAGCAAAATTTACATGGTTTCATAACCCGTGTCCCAGTTTTTATCTGTGTCTATCAGCTGGCTTCACAGGCACAAAATGACAGGAGAGGAGAAAAATTTGACGGATACTACAAGACCCTGGCCCAGTAGACAATCAAATATGTTCTGTGAAGTGGGTTGGGTCTCTTCCTAGCACTTTCATTTTACTCTAAAAATGCCTTTCACTTTGGTTTGATAAAACAAAACAAAAGAAGCGATTTTGCCATTAGGCTGGCTGACATTTAGGTTATCGCGACATCTCGCTCAAGTCCATGTTCCAGGCCCTGTTGACTTTATTTGATAATGTCTTGATTGCTCCGACCTGACCAGCTGTTCATCACATGGGATGCTAACATCAGTTATGCGACTGAAAGGTGACTGCAATTCCCTGAATGTAGACGTTAAATGAATTATAATAATGCTAACTTATTTTGAGTCGTATTATGAGTATAAAGGGAATTTTGAAAGTGGTAATATAAAAGTAAGTATGGTAAATATTAATATTACTGGTGATGAAGATTTACATTCTGATAATAATGATCAAATGAACTAATATTATGACAGCTCTATAGCCCACAGCACGTTTATAATGTTATTTTAGTTGCTTGAGCTATATTTACACTTGATGTCAGTGTGGTCCTATGTGCGTAATATGTCCTGGGAGCTCTGTCTACAGTTCATATGTAGTCTTTCTCCTGTTGCCTGTAATTAGCTGATAAAGATTTGATTGAAAGATAGAGAGAGTCGGCCTGTGTTGTAAGGAGAATGATAAGCGGGGAAAACAAATGATAAAAGGTTTTTAACTTTCACTTTCAAGCAGATGGATTATCATAAATGATGTACAGATAAAGTTTCCTCTTTCCCTTTCTTCTTTAACCGCAGTTCTCAAATTTGGACAGAGCTGAAGGAGTGGAGAAATTATATTTGCTAATTTATATGGTTTTGAAAGACTGTGAAGTCTTGTCAACTTAATTTCCTGTTTCAGTTGCAGTTAGTTGTTTACTGTATGAGTAGGAATATTTTCATTAGAACAACTATTCTTGTTATGTGTATATATATATGTGATTTTGATTCTTGGTTTGGGAAGATAACCAAGTATCATGGGTTAGCTCTGACAGATAAATGGGATGGAAGCTGACTGCCCTGTTCGTTTCCATTTACAATTTATGTTCTCATTTTGTTTTCCTTTATTGTTTCTGTACTATTCTGTGTGATGCATTGTCTTTACACATTCTTTCCTTTTTCCTAACTTAAACCAACAACAGGGCCTAGGGAGGGGGTTACATTTTGTCTTATTCAACAAGTGCCACATCTGAAACAGACATCTGTCTATGGTTTGCCAATAATTTCTCTGCTCAGATGCTCTAAAGAACCTATTATCATGATCTTGGTCTTTTCCTTCACCCGTCTGATTTTGTTCTCCAAGTAAGTTATTTTTGGTCTACCCCTGCCTCATTTTTCTGCTATTTTTCCAGTGAGAGCAGCTTTCATGTATTAATTATTAAAGTTTCTGTAGAACTGCAGTTGTCTCTTAATAACCAAAGTTATTTTTCATCACTGTAAAGCATTCAACTGGGAAGAAAATGAAAAACACTGACCACAATGAAGAATTATTTCGCCTTATATATGACATGATCATGCTAACGAAAAACAAAACAAAACAAAATCCCTAGGAGACTTGTTAGTGTAGAGATAAAGGGCTTGCCTCTGAAACCAGAAGTTCCTGGTTTCCCAAGACCAGGCTGGTGGACAAGGAATTTTTTCATAGGTTTGTCAGAGCCTTTATTGATTTATTGAGAACTCTCAGGTGAATGGCTGCAGGGTCAGAATTGCATAGTCATGGTCATTTAGAGAACTTTCTGGTCAACTTAAGTAATAATGAGCACTTTAAATATTGACACATGGTTGCCCGAAAGATGGCTGACATCACATTGCAGTTGCTAAAATAGGAGGATATAAGACTTTAAGATGTGGTGAACAGACTGCATTGTAGGTTGAAAAGTATGGTCTGTTGACTACCCATGGGTTCTGGCAGGGGAATGAAACAAAACAAAACAAAAAAGAAGGTAAAAATCCCCATTAAAGTCCCTAAATACTGTTGTTATTATTATATATGATAATATGTTTATAAATATTGTGTCCCTTACAATGTGATGTCCCACGCCTTTCAGGTGACCATGTGCATAAGTTGATAAAAAAAAAGTTACATTTTGGGTAGCTATGACGTTAGAGTTCTGCCCTTGCAGCAAGCCCCTCGAAAGACTTTTCATTTGATTGATACAGGCTCTAACAAACTTATGAAAAAAACTTTGCAATTGCTTACCATGATTTCTTAGTTTGAATATTCTAATTGGCTGTGTGAGAGGAGTCTTGACATCTGTTGGCAACCTGCCCTGTGCTGACCGCATACTTTTTGGGGTCATACTGAATCTGGACAATCATGCTGTTGTCAGATTACTGTTACAGAGGACTGTCATCGCTTGGGCAAGGTTCTTGACCAGCAGGTTATGTGGTCACTGCATGGTCATTCTGACTGATTAGTGCGGAAAGGTCATGTTCAAGGGCTGAACAAATATTTACCAGATAACGCACCACCAACCAGAAAAGTATTATGTCCAGTTCGGCTGACCTAGTGAGAGCCATGGCTTTGCGATACCACTTCAGCCTTTTAGCTTTCTCACAATGACAAGTCACACTTTGAAAGCAAAATTGCTTTTTGCTTACATACAGTTTGGGGGATGGGGTTGCGTTTTTTTCTTTCCGTCATGGTATCATGATGTTATTAATTTTGCTACATTCTTTGCAGCAAGGTTGGGGGTGGTGGATTGCTGGGTTAGCATGGTCTGTTTCTTCTATATTATTTTTTTAGTTGTCTGTGTTGGCCTGGTGGATTTGTGGTAAAATGTAGCCTTTATTTTGCTAACTTGGCATGTGAATTATGCTTTTACCGGTACTCAATAACAAAGCTCCATCATTTTCTTTAAGAAAGTGGTTATGATTTTGTTGTTTCTCAACTGGGATGACCCATGTCATCATATTTTCTTTTTGTTTCATGGTTGGATCTTTTCATAAGCATTAAATTTATGTACAATGTACACGTTGTACTCTGATACTTTTAATTTAATTTAAATTTCATATTGAATATTGGTGACTCGTTTCGTGACCTCAGGTACTGTTTTCAACTCTTTTAAGTTGTTTTTTATGTGTCTTTGATGGTGACCACTGTTGGGGGGACACCTGTTCCTTTTGAGCATCATTTGTTTCTTGTACTGGTCTGTGCAGGTGATGGATGGCGCCACGAGTAGGGCATATTTCTCTTCTTGCCCTCTATTATTTGTGTCCGACTGTCTTACTTTTTTCTTACACTAAATGACCCTTGTGTTGATACAGCTTGTCTTTCCTCAAACAAATTCCTAGTTCTGTTTCTGGTGAAATCAGCTCATTAGCATGCTGATTTGTGATACGATTTTCTTAAACAACTCAAAACAATTTCTTTTTATTTATGTCTGTCCACAGTGTCTTATTGCTAGTTCATTCGTCCCGGGTTTCGTCGGATGGATTCCCCCTGTGCTTGAAGCGGAAGATTTCATCAATCTCTCTGAAGGAATGATCAAGATTCCTGAAAAAGTTGTAGACAGCTCTGACTGTAGCTCGGATGATTCGGAAACGGACAAGGAAGAGGAAGAGGTTACAGATGGCTGTGTTGAGGCCCGTCCACCAAAGGTCAGAAATCTTGGGGTTTTTTTTCTGTGAATCAGAAGCTGTTTTTTAAATTCTCAGTATACATTTTTATATATGTTTATATTGTGGTTATTTCTCAATCTTAGATTGTTTGTAAAGCAGTATACATGAGTTTGACTACTGTGATACCATTGAGGACAAGTTCCTGCAGCTAGGACTATTTTTCTGTTTGGACATGATTTCATCATCAGTATTCTCTTGGTGTACAATCCCTCTCTGATACTGATTAAACCACTTCTGTACGACAACCAGCCACTTTGGTGTATCAATTACATGGATGAGACTGAAAAAACAATTTTTTAATCATCTTAATTACAGCCGAACCTGCCATGACAGCCACCTGTACAACCTGTGGTACCTTTTCATTTCCCTTGTTGTGGGTTGTTGTTTTTTTCAGTATAATTTTACTGTGTAATAATGTTACCTATCCAATGTGGCTGGGGCTACCATATTTTATCACAAACCGACCAATAATACCTGTCTTACATGGCCACCGAAATCTTTCTTTGCCTGATGTTATTGGCCCCTGACGTGGACAAGCCGCCATAATCCAAGCACCTGTGGTTATTGTTAGGTAGTCCCTCCAACCAATCATGTTGTGTAGGCCCCTCCCACTATTAATTAATAGAAAGCAATGCATTTTCAACTGCTGGTGAGGGAAGCATGTGATCCTTTATAACCCTTAAGCCCCGCCCACAACTCATACACAAATCGTAATTGTGATGAGTGGTCACTATTTATCTCGTCTGTAACAAAGTAACAATGGACGTCTATATGAACTTGTGATAGAAGTGTTGTTTATTCTCTGAGTGTTGGCGACCCATGGGGTTTAAAAAAATTCATTTTACCATGGCGTTCGGTCTGCCTCGTTTGACACATATTTATTCCGCAGCACAAAATTAGCAAAATTAAAAAAAAAAAAAAA